TATTCACGCTCGTAACGATCTGATGTATCAGTTGATCCAAAAGCTGAACGCGATACTGCGCACTACCGACGAAACTATGAAGAGCGTCGTGACCGCGACTTTGGAGCCGGTAAAGATTCCGCTCAACTTCTACTGGTCCACCGGCCTGGTATCGATAATAGCGTGGTACTTTGTGCCGTTCTTATTGGCGTTCAAGAAAAATGTATTTTGTTACGAGGATTACAGAGTACCTGCTGTTTTCTCGAAGCAGCCATTCTCGGTCGTGGTCTTTCTACTAGGAAGCCTGTTCATACTAGTCAGCAATACATATATGTTCTTGAAGAAAGTCGGCGTGACAGTGTACACGGTGCATCTGATCTTGATGGTAACCGCGCAGTATCGATACATCGCGCTGAAAATCACAATGTTATTTCAAGATGGAAATGAACATGATGAATCTCAAAAGAAACATTCCCCTGAGTTTTACCGAAAAAAAGAAAATGAAATGAGAACATTGTGTCGACTCCACAATGATGTGGTACAGTGAGTATGTCAAAAGTTCAGTCAAGTTTATATTTAAATTTATGCAATTTTTATTATGTCATTTCATGATGTTTTACGGATATATTATACGCTTTCTTTTAGCATAACTTTATTGTTAAAAGAACTGTTGTCTTTAAACTTTAGTTTAACATATGTGAACACAGTCTTTCGATTCTGCTTTATTGGTGTCATGTTAAGCACCGTAAGTAATAAATTGTTAAATTGCTCTCCCTTTCTTTCTATACAGAAATTGATTTTATGTATATAGAAAAAAAAATGAAAACAACTATTGAATTATATAAAGAATTTACTAGAGAGATATAACTATATTAACTAATATATCCTGTTTAAAATTTCAGCTAACAGCTGCGACGTTTTGGGAAGCGACTTCTATTGTCATGTATACGTCAGGTGAAATGGTGCAACTTTATATTTTGTGCTCCTGCGTGCAACAGCTACTAGACTCGGTAAATTTTGTAATTTGTCGTTTATATTATTTTGTTTTAATATTTAGAAATGTAAAATTGAAAAATTTCCAGATTATATTTTTTTCTGACAGTATATCATAAATTGCTTTTATTCTCGCTTTGGAACGATTATATAAAGATTTTTAGAAAACTTTAGAGATTATAACTTTGTGAATTGCAAATTTGTGTCTTATTGTTTGTAATAATTATATTATTTTTTGTTGTATATTGCATTATTGTGGTAAATAGAGTACGGAAATAACAGATGAGGCGTTTCACGAAAACTGGTATCTGCTTCAACCATCGATAAAACATATATTTATTTTAATAATTATGGCTAATAATTTAGAATGCAAAATTGCGACATTAAAAAATTTCAATTTCTCCTTGCCCTCATTTATGAAGGTAAAACTTTGTATACTCTTCTTATTTCTTTTGCATAGTAACACTAACATATTTCAAATCTAACATTCTTTTTTTCTTCAATCTCCTTTTAGATTTTAAATCAATCGTACTCGATCGCACTTCTGTTTTTAAAAATGAAATGAAAAGAAGACATCTTATCTACAATAGTTAAAATTGTTACTTTCAAACCAATAACAAAAATTAATAATTTTGTAAAGACAATTTATTTACGTTTAGCAAAGTTAACTTGTTTCAGCGAGAAAGAGTTCTTGAAAATCATGACGACAGATATCAAATATGATTAAATAAAAAAGTCAGTGACTGTATTACAATTTGTAACTGACATAAAAACAATGATAGTAATAGCACCGAGAATAATAAAGTAGCAAATATTAATGATAAAATGCTCGAAATTTACAGCTTAAATGACTTCTACGTAATTATTGACGCTCTGTGTATATTGGAGCAGGAAATCAATAATGCTGATATAGACATAATATTAATCATTATTTTATATATACACATATATATTTCCATGATAATATAATTTTATCTATATAATTTTGATAGATAGCTTTCAACATTTGGAAAATTTGTCTCTATTTTTATTTACAGTATTACTAACAATAAGCATTACTAAGCATTATTAATATTACTATATTAATATTACAAAGACAATTGTTGTTTTTAATACGTCAGTGAAGTCTCTATCAAACGCACGAAGGGAAAAACAAAAGTAGTAATAATATTTTATCTTCAAGAAAAAAAGCTTACATATTTTAAGCATAATTCTGCGATAACTTTTTACTCATTTGTATAACACTATATATGTACATACCAATATATATTTTACACTTATCGTACTCACAGCAAACGAAGCCGCAGTTTACTGCCTACTGAGATGCTCGTTAGATAGCAATTAGGCACTATGAATCCCTCGTGATTCTGCGGCGGACTTAGTGCTATAAGATAATTATCGCTTAACAGCACAGGGACAAGGAAATTAGGGATCATATTTACTTTGAGATAAACGTACTAAAAAGTACAGTTCTTCATTGAGTTTATCATAATTCTGTACGACATTCATTTATACACTTGTTCAATGATTACAGGATGACATTGAAGTAAATTACAGTGAAATGAACACAGACCGTCATTGCTTGCCATTGACATGATTGTATACAATATATTAATAGATAGGAAGAAATATAGAAATACAATCAAAGAGAGCAGCGAATTGTTGAAAATATCCGAGCGTCAGTCAACAATTTTAAATTAAAAATACGATAGTATCTACAAAGGAAGAACATTTGTAATGACAAAACATGCAGACCAAATAACAGAACAAATAAGAAAGACGAGAGAATATAACCCAAGCAATCGATTCTCATAATTAATTAATTAATTAATATAAATTCTAATAAAAAGTATAATTAATTATACAATATAAATCTCTATATAATCCAAGAGAATTGATATTTATTTGAAGTTTGGCGAAAAGCGAGAGAGAAACAAATCTGAATAATAGATTTCCTTAACAGGAAGGGAACTTTCTATGTCTTTGAAATCCGTTGTTAATATAATACAATGTTTTAGAAATAAAACTTGCAGAAAATAATTTGAAAAATTTTTTAATTGCAAATTTTATAATTGCAAATACTAATTTTTTTTGTTAAAAATAATAAAAATACATTGTACAACGTAATCCAAATAATTTGCTTCAATACAGAAAAAAATAAGAAATCATTTTAAAAAAGTTACTGTAGCGAACCTACAGATCGTGCGCTTTATCCAGTCTGTAATGTGTCAAGTGTTAGTTAAATATAATATAAAAAATTTAGTGAAATAATTGATACATGATTAAGGCAACCGAAATCAATTATATCAAGTCTTAGTTACGAAAATCATTTAATTTAATCCTTAACGGTACGAATATCCCAATCGAGACTCGAATTTCACTTGTAATAATCGTTCCATTCGCTTCATACGGGACGTCGCTCGTTGTATACATAAATGAGTCGTGATTCTTGTTCGATACATATTGAATACAAAAGTGTTAATCGCCTGTACTTATCTATGTAGAATTTAATATCGCGAAGCGCTTCGATGTTGCCGGGCCTGTCTTGGTCGTGAGCCTCTTCCGTCAGACGTCTATTCCAATTGCCCAGTAATATGGAATAATTCACAGTCTGTTCAAACTCTCCAGTGGTTTTGTGATCGACTCGGAATAATAAAGCTGGCCGAGGACCCTCACATTGGTTGCAACTTCGACTCGTGTATTGAGGAGCGAGGCTCAAGCCCGACTGTCGTACATCGCTGAAGTCTGACCTTTCCCCACTCTCCTTCTCGCATCATCCCCACGTATATTCTATTTACTCTCTCTATAGCTTACTTTTCCTTTTTATTATCCTTACAAGTCAGAGTACACGTTAAACAGCACTAGATATTGCATAGGACTGCGATCTTTTCGCGACCCGTAGTCCTGCGATATAGTCGTTTGCGCACTCAAGAGAATACTATAAGATAATCGTCGCGGCGTAGAACACGCGTAGTTACAAGGAAGCATCTGATCATACTTATCCCTATGATAGATGTAGCAAAGATTGTAGTCCTGCACAGTTCTTGATATCGCGACATTTATTTATTAACTTCTAAACATTTCTTTATAACAGAAGATGAGAGACGACTTCTTCAAATTGTTATTTATTTAGAAATACGCTATCGATAGTACTGAAGTTTCGACAAATTTAAGGCACACTAATAACAGAACAAAACATTATAAATCATGATGAAAAGAACGGAACATATCATTGCCGTGAGACGTACGACACATGCATTAATACAAGTCCAGGTAGTCGAATAAAAATTTAAAAGGAATAATATGAAATGTCGGCGATCCGCGAAATTATCTCCGAATTCCGATGGAAAAGCCGCGCATGTTTTCTTGAAAAGGAAGAGGGAGGTATACGCACGACATAGCAACATACGAGAAGGACGTCGAGCGAAGTAAATACAAGATATATTCCGATTGACGACATCGTGCGAGCATGGACTTCCAAAACGTGAATTTACTAAACGTTCGATTGAACTTGGTCTCGGGCAATCTGCTACCGATGATCATCGACTCGCCTTTTTCATTCTTTTGGAAGACATACAGCGCCTTTGTGTGGACATCACAATTCATTTTAGGGATCGTGATGGTACTCGGATGCGTCTACGTGCCAATTGAGAAGGCTTTGAAAGACGGCTTAATTTGCTTCGTAGTCTTCATAGAAATGTTCTTTATGGTTCTGCGTATTCACGCTCGTAACGATCTGATGTATCAATTGATCCAAAAGCTGAACGCGATACTGCGCACTACCGACGAAACTATGAAGAGCGTCGTGACCGCGACTTTGGAGTCGGTAAAGATTCCGCTCAACTTCTACTGGTCCGCTGGTATGGTATCGATAATAGCGTGGTACGGTGTGCCATTCCTATACGACAAGAATCTGTTTTATTACGAGGATTACAGAATACCCGCCGCTTTCACCAAACAGCCATTCTCGCGCAGAGTCTTTGTACTAACCAGCATCTTCATACTGATCATTGCGCTGTATATATTTTTAAGGAGGGCTAGCTTGGCGACATACACAGTGCATCTGGTCCTGATGTTAACCGCGCAGTATCGATACATCGCGCTGAAAATCGCGATAATATTTTAAGAAGGAAATGAATGTGATGAATCTCAAAAGGCACACTCCTCTGAGCTTGATCGAAAAAGGGCAAAGGAAATAAGAGCATTGTGTCGACATCATAATGACGTGGTTTAGTGAGTATCTCAAGCAAGCTCAGTCAAGTATAATATTTTCGAACAATCTCTGTGGCTAGAAAGAATACACACACAAATAACGTAATAATTAATATGAGAAATTAGAGCTTATATAATTAAGTTATTTGATTGAACTATATTTCATATTCGCGTTTTATAAAATTTATATTTAAATTTATGTAGGTTTTCGTTGCGTCATGGCGTTTTATGAATATGTTATACGCTTTCTTTCAGCATGACTTCATTGCTAAAAGAACTGATGTCTTTAAACTTTAGTTTAATATATGTGAACACCGTCTTTCGATTCTGCTTTATGGGTATTTTCTTAAGCACCGTGAGTAATAATTTAATTTGATACCAGTAATTTCTCTCTCTCTTCCTTCCCTCCCTCCTTTTTCTTCTCTATGTATATAAAAATTGATTTCAGATAAAAAGACATAACGTTAAAATTAATAAATAATTATATTAAATTATATCAAGAATTTATTATAAATATGATATATACATATACATATATCAACTAATAGATTTTTTAAATTTTAGATAGCATCAACAACATTATGGGAAAGGATTTGGATTGTTATGTTCACATCAGGTGAGATAGTGCAACTTTATATTTTGTGCTCGTGTATGCAACAATTGTTAGACGCGGTAAATTTTTAATTTATCGTTTATATTGTTTTATTTTTAATATTTATATATATGTATATGTAACTGAAAAATTTCCAAATTACTATGAAATTTAATTTTTCTGGCAGTATATAATTATGAATTGTTTTGTGATTTACGAATTGTATTTTATACGATATGTAATAATAATCATATTATTTTTGTATACCGCTCTATTGCGGGAAATGTAGAGTACGGGCGTAACAGATAAAGCGTTTCACGAAAACTGGCATCTACTTCAGCCATCGATAAAACATATATTTATCTTGATAATTATGGCTAATAATTTAGAATGCAAAATTGCGACGTTTAAAAATTTCAATTTCTCCTTGCCCTCATTTATGACGGTAAAATTTTGTACATTTCTTATTTCTTGTTCATAATAATCATATTTTAAATCTAATATTCTTCAAACTTCCTTTCAGATTTTAAATCAATCGTACTCGATCGCCCTTCTGTTTTTAAGAATGAAATAAAAAGTGGCAAAAAAGACGTCTTACCTAGTAGTTATAATTAGTATTTAGAAGAATAGAATATTTATTCACTTTAGCAATTTTACAGCCAAAAAGGGGGCTTGGTTTACATTTAATACCTTATCACTCATTTATCCATACCCTAATCTATCTCTCTATCTTATCCTATACGCTTAAAACTAATTAACTATCACAGCTGACTTCTTAAATCACTGCTCGGCGTTTCGAGCTCACAACCTTCTTATTTTTATTTCTTATTTCTTATCTACTGCTACCATCCTTTTACATTTTTCTTTTCCTATCTTTTACTTATTCTTTACATTCATTATATCCGTAATTAGTACTTATAATTATTATTTTTAAAGTAATAACGAAAATCAGTAGTCTTGTGTGATAATTTACATTGCTTACATTCCAAAGATTATCACAATATGAGAAGATAAATATTAGTAGTAAATGAACTATAATAATTAGTTGTATGTACGACACATGCATTTAAATAGGAGAAAAAATAAAGATTTCGACTACGTACCTGCAATTTATCTTTTTTTCCCATATATAATTTTTTTTTATAATTTACATTTTCTAAATTATTGTCTTTGATCAATGAATCTCTGACGTAGCGAAGAAAGTAGCATAGTAATAATAATATATTTTATTAAAAAAAATAAAGCCTATACATACTTTAAGCATAATCCTGCGATAATCATGCAGCCGTTGATTTGTAAACGCTATATACATATATGTTTATATTTATATGTCAATATATTTTACACTTATTTTACTCACAGCAAACAGAGTCTCAGTTTACTACCGACCGAGATGTTCGTTAGATAGCACTAGGCACTATGACTCCCCCGTGGTTCTGCAACGGACATAGTGCCATAAGATAATTAATGCTTCATGCAGCACACGGATAGTTACAAGGGAATTGGTGATCATATTTTACGATAAACGTATCGAAAAATACAATTCTTCTTCATTGAATTTATCATCGTTCGGTACGTTCATTTGTACAATACACTTGTAATGATTATAGGATAAACGTAATTACAATGAAATAAATACAGACTGTCGTTGCTACTGTCGTACAATTGTATACAATGTATTAATGATGAGCCGGAAGAAGTAAAGAATCAAAGAGAATGGCGAATTGTTGAAAATAGTCGAGAGAGCTGGTCAACAATTTGAAAATACGAATACAGGATGGACGTAGACGTCCGCAAAGAAAGAAACATTTGCAGTGACGGAACACAAGAGTTAATGTAAACCCGAGAGCAAATCGAGTCTTGTAATATAACGACGTATGTGAAAGTAATATTTATTACGAGCAAACGCGACGTCTCAAGATGAACTTCCAGAATGTGAATCCCCTAAATGTTCGATTAAATATGATCTCAGGCAATTTGTTACCGATGACGAGCGACGATTCGTCGTTTCATGTAGCGTGGAAAGTATACAGCATTGTCATATGGATAATCGAGCTGTACCAAACCATCGCAACGGTTCGCGGATTTGTACTGGTGGCGAATAGCGAGACTCTGCAGGACGCCGGCACGATTAGTATCGTGATAAGCGTTGAAGTGTGCGTTCTGCTCGCGCGTATGTACGCAAACAGAGATCTTGCGAGTCAGTTAATCCAGAAGCTGAACAGTATTCTGCGCTCGGAGGGCGAGAGTATGGAGGGCATTGTGCATTCAACCCTGAAGCAGTTAGAGATTCCGCTCAAGTTCTACAGCATAGCTGGGACTGGATCTGTAATAGTGTATTGCAGCCTACCGCTCGCGCTAATTTTCAAGAAGAAGTATTTTTTCTACGAAGATTATGGAATGATGGCAGCCTTCTCGAAACAACCATTCTCGACGAAAGTTTTCGTGCTGGGCAACACTGTCGAAACTATCGCCAGCATGTTTATATTCCTAAAGAAGGTTGCCATGGACGTTTATATGATAAATCTCGTATTATTGATGACAGCGCAGTATCGCTACATCGCGGTGAAGCTCGCGACAATACTTCGCAATAATATCTCACAAAATGAGGACCGTGAATTCCAAAAGAAATACTATTCTGCAGATTTATCGGTTGAGAAACAGATGAAAGAGTTTTGTCGACATTATAACACTATAATTCTGTAAGTAATCTGTAAGTTGAGCATTTGTTAACTTTTATCACAATTTGTAACTTTACTCACCTGTTTCGCTTTCAGTCACTTTTGTAATTGGAAACGGTTATAATTTGTACAGTTAGTTACTTTTGACACAAAAACTTCTGCACATCTCAATTGAAATTTTTAAAAATGATTAAAGTAACTAGAAGGAAGAGACAATAAAGTCATGTCATAATAAAATTTACATTTATTTATTCGAAGTTTTTTGAATTATTTGTTATTTTTTTCTAGATTTTCAATTATTAATCACTCAATATCTAACAGACATTGTTTTCTTTTCAGTATGACGTTGATGTTAAAGAAATTCCTATCCTTGAATATGAGTTTGATATTCTTGACCAATATCATTCTTTTCTGTTTTCTCGACATAATTATCATAAATGCAGTAAGTAAAAACTGGCATGTAATCACTGATTATTCTAGAAATATTTTCTTGGCGACCAAAGACAAAGCTCTAATATTATTGAATTATCATCTTAATTATGAGATGTTAGCAGTATGTGTCAAATTTAGGTAATATCGGGGGCTGTTTTTGAAGGAATCGTCCTCTTTGTATATTTATGTGGCGGTTTAATGCAACTTTTCATTGTGTGCTTCTGCGTTCATCAATTATTAGACGCGGTAAATTTTATTATGATATGACTTTATTGTCTCTTCCTTCTAGTTACTTAATAATAATTTTTAAAAATTTCAATTGGGAGAAGTTTTTGTATTAAAAGTAACTAACTGTACAAAATAACCGTTTTTTTAATTATAAAAATAAGTAAATGTTATAATTTGCCATTCTCTTTGATCCTTTATTTTTTCTGGCTATCATTATTACATGTAAGCATAGATATAAAATTGTGCAAGTGCTATTACCATATAGTGGTCTTTTATGTGTCATTATTCTTTGAAAAATTTAGAGTAAAGAAGTAACAGATAAAGCATTTCATGAGAAGTGGTATCAATTTGGACCTTCGTTGAAACATATGTTCAGGATGATTATAATAGCCAATAATTTAAACACTAAATTGTCGATTTCTGAAAAGTTCAGTCTGTCCCTCCCTTCATTTTTATCGGTAAGATTAATATTTGATATTGGCTTTAAATATATTAAAGTTAATTTTATATAAAATTTTATATAAATATAATTATATATAAAAGTAAATATTAAACTAATATTATTTAGCTATATTAAACACACATTATAATACTAACGTCGTAAAATTTAATTTTTACTGTTACTATTGTCAACTTTACTATTACTTTTAACAAAACGTGAGCAATTATCTAGATGTATATTAATATTTAAACATATTATTGAATATCTTTCTTAAATGTTATTTTAGATCTTAAATCAATCGTATTCGATTGCTCTTTTGCTTTTAAAAATGAAATGAAAATTGGTAAGGATGTTTATTTGTCTTGAAAGTTACATCTGTGTCTTTTACACATTTTTAACTAGTAATAAAATATGATAAAAGTGAACAATATTGCTCAATATTGCTAACATTTAAGTAATTCGTTTCAGGATAGAATATGTTACGAAATAAGAATTAAAGACTAATATTGCTAATAAACGGATTATCTAAATAATTTAAATAGAATTAACAAAAAATAAAAATTACCATAATCAACGTACAATATGCATGTTGGAAGTTTATCATTTTTCTTCGGCTCTTTGATAAAGAATTAAACCATATTATTATATTCTATTTTTTTTATTTTAGTGTTATAAACGCTGAACAGCGTAATAATATTTTCTATCGAAATTAGATAAAACTTACTTTAAGCACAACGAAAATGTAGCTGTTAATTTTGAAGTAGAACTATTTTCACTATTTCACAGTTTAATTTACTATTTAATTTACTACAAACTGAACTGCAGTTTTCTGTCTATTGACGACGCGCGAAATATCATTAGTACTGCGATCTGGCAGCGCTCTACTGGCAGCTCTGCGACATATGTATCGTTAGCGCGCAATAAATATACGTACCATTAAAGATAATTATTGCTTTTCAAAGCGCCATATGTAGCCACAGGAAAACCGGTAATTTTACTTACCCTTTGTAATAAACGAAATGAAAAATAGTACCACATTTACCATCTTTTTAGCATCGTGAAAATATTTTTTCTTATCTGAATAGCGTTTTTCTATTCTGCATTATAGATATCATAATGACTACCGTGAGTAATAAACATGAACTTTAAAAATTGTGGATAAATCATTTATCTTCCAAACAATTAAACAACATAAAATTGCGTAATAAAACGAATAATCAGTATTTAAGATTTTTAATTTTATAATAAATTTTAATATATGTATCAAAATATATGTAAATAAGCGATTTTCACCAATTAAGATTTTTTAAATATAAACAATAAAAACCTAACAAGATTCCCCGAATTCAAAATACAATAAGTAAGTAAGGCAGATGGGAATCAGCGTGGTTATTGGTACGCAAATATTTAATTTACATGAAATTTACTTTATTCTAAAGTCATACGTTTCGGTTATTTTTCTTAGCCAGTGACAAATTACAAAAAAGCGTGCTAATTCTCGCCTTCCCACCGCCGTCCTTGCCGCGTATGGAGTCTAGGCCACCCGCCCTGCCCCTCTACCGTTAGGTAGAACTAGCCGGCCCTCGCGCGATCCCCGGTCATTATAATTTGTGGTCGCTAATTAGTGTTGCGGAACCGTAATTGCGTGTTGTTGCGATCGACGTTGCCCCGAGCACGTCTGGTGCCCAAGACTTCGCGGGATTGTGAAACGTAAGACCGGAGAATCGTCCGCGAGGGATAAAACGAGGGCCAACATCCTCCCTCCTCTCTTCTACGGTTTTTGATCCGCTTCTCGTGAGCGCGGGCTCGCGGGAGGCGTGACAAAATCATACAGCATATTCGATTGCCCTTCTGTTTTTAAAAGTGCACTGAAAATGACAGTAATATCATTTGTTATGTTTCAAATTCAGTAATTACAGGATAGAGAGTGATTATAAGAGATAAAGAAAATTTAGATCTATTATAGACAAAGCATAAACGTATCTACTTTGGATACTATTATTTACTTTAAATGATTCTAAACATAATCATAAAATGTACTTAGACGCGTTTGAAATTGATAATGCTAATTTCTGCTAATCTAATTTTGTCTCTCTCTCTTTCTACCTTTTACTTTAAAATTAGAAAGAATTGAATAAATTGTAGTGAATTTATAGATAAATTTGTAGTAAATTATGACTAGTAATAAACTACGGAAATAAAATTCAATGCTTATAACATTCAGAATGTAAAATGTGTAAAAAAAAATTAGTACGTATTTATCAAATTAGGATAGTGAAAATAATATGTATATATAAACACGTGTTATTAAAATAACAAATGTAACAATTAGGAAATCAACTAATATTTTAACTAATAGCAACAATATATGATACGTATATTTGAGATAATTTATGTGTTTTTACAAAATATATTAACAATGCATAATTTGTAGCTTTTGAATTTTTCTTAAATATATTAAATCTAAATTTAGCGAATAAAAATATTTCCTGAAAACGTAAAAACGCACATTAAACGATACAAAGAATTAATAGCAGTTTAAAACAAATAATTACGAATTTATTTAAAATATCTGTTAGTGAAAAAAATTCACCTTTTGTTGTTGTTTCGTTTGTAACCCAACATTTTCGAAACACTTTATAAAATGATATTAGCACGTTTAATGTAAAATGTCAGATCAGTTCTCGATTACTATCTGAAGGAAAGTATACTAGATAACGTCAAATACTGGTTTCTTCTGCTTTTTCCTTTGCGATGAAGTACCTCTGCAACGAAATGCCTGGAGTACTATAAGATAATCGCCGCTTTGTAGTCTCAGGATAATTATAAAGTAACGTGGAGTCACGTCCATCTCCTGCAAAAATAAAAGGAATATACCGTGACATATCTCAAGACATTTGTCAAGACGATTGTAAACTTCTCCACTTTTTTACAAAAGCTGTCGATTGATGATAGTTAATTTGCCATGTTTCTATACTGTCATCGTAGAGTAAACATTTATAACTACGGTGAAAGGGAAATGATGTTTCCCCAATGACAATGCATATTATAATACAAACTACAAAGAAGTAGAAATTCAAAGGGAATAAGATATCCATGGATGACGATCGGTTGCGACCAACTTTCAAATAGCGATAGAAAGTCCCGTGTATGCTTCTGAAGGGAAGAATAGAAATACACGCGATAATGAAAATGTTCAAAGGAGGTAAATGCGAATTTATATCTTGGTACATCTAGTGCACACAATTAAAAGTGACTATTTATACTGGAGACTTAAAGGACCGACGTTAAACTAACTAATTAAATTGTCTTTCAGCTTAGGAAAAAAATTAATTTAAAAAGAAAACGTTATACTCGGTACATTTTATAATCAGAGAGAAGGACGAGATATTGGAAACCGCCTTTGCAAGCTATACTTTGTACGATATTTTCCATTTGTCACGAATATTCTCCAGAGCATGGACTTTCAAAACGTAAATCCGCTGAACGTTCGATTAAACAGGTTCTCGGGCAACTTGTTACCGATGACCAGCGACGACGCTCTGTTCCCTGTTGCGTGGAGAATATATAGCGCCGTCATATGGCTGATCGAAGCGATTCAAACTAGCGCGGTGATTCCCGGGATCCTGTTCGTGCCGAGAGATAAGGCTTTGCAGGACGCAACCGTTGGCCTAGTGATCACCATAGAGGTGTTTTTCTTGTTACGGCAAATGCACGCGCGCCGAGATCTCGTGACGCAGCTGATTCAAAAGCTGAATGAAATTTTGCGCGTTGAGGACAAGACGATGGAGATGGTCGTGAGGTCGACCCTGAAGCCGGTAGAGATTCCGCTGAAATTTTACTGCGTGGCCGGGACTGGATCCATAATAGTGTGGTGCTGCATGTCTTTCGCGGTGATCTTCAAGAAGGAGTATTTTCTCTATCAGGATTACAGACTGCCGATAGTACTTTCGAAGCAGCCATTCCCGATGGAAATTTTTCTACTGGGAAACTGCGTCGCGACTGTCGCCAGCGTGTATATGTTTATAAAGAAGGTCGCCTTGGACGTCTACATGATAAATTTCGTGTTACTGGTAACGGCACAGTACCGCTACATCGCGGTGAAGCTCCCGACAGTATTTCGAGAAAATGCTCCACAGAATCAGCGTAGTAAATCTAAAGGAGAGAAATATTCTGCTGTCGATTCATCGGCAGTTCTGAAGATGAAAGCGCTATGTCGACATCACAACGCGGTGGTTCAGTAAGTAATTGGTGAGCGTTTACCTTTAATTTTGCGATTAGTTGTTTTACCCTTTTTTTCAAATTACTCGTCTCTTAAAATTGTTGTCCTTACATAATTCATATCACTTTCAATGCTTGTTTGCTTAATGTCGCATTGTGTTTTTTTTTTTCAGGATGACGTTAATACTAAAGAAACTACTGTCTTTGAATATGAGTCTAATGTATTTGACGAATGTTTTTATTTTTTGCTTTCTCGACGTTATGCTGATAAGCGCTGTGAGTAATATTTGATAACAATAATAATACTAAAAAAAAACTTTCTAGATGATTGGAGATAATGTTTATGACAGTATAACGATGTCAAATCTAGGTATTATCGACGGCTCTTATAGAGGGAGTTATGATTGTTATGTATATATGCGGCGGCCTAGTACAGCTTTATATTTTGTGCTTATGCGTCAATCAATTACTAGACGCGGTAAGCTTTGTTGAAATCCTTGCTATCTTTTCTATCTTTCAGTATGTCTTAATTTTATCCCGTATTAATTTTTAAAAAGTTTTAAATTACAGTACGTTTGCAACTAATATTTAATATTGAAATAATTATTATGTATAAAGGGTAGTTATTTTTTTAAAAGAGTAAATTTAATTGTAATATTTATTTAGAAGGAAGAATAGTCTGAAAGCAGAAATATTTTTAATAGACAATCTATAATCCATATCAGAATTCAGGATATAACTTTATTTATAATTCTGTATATGTATTGAACCGATCTATATATAAAAATCAGTTGTATGTTGCCATAAAAACATTTGAAAATAGAATAGAAATTTAGAGTATACTATGTGCATAAAATATACATATATTAAAAATACAAATATCGATATAAATAGTATGTAAAATAAACAGAATTTTATTTTAAAATCTGATGTGCATTATAGATCACATAAAATTGGTTCTACGTATTATTATTTTATATAAAATTTAGAGTGTAGAAATGACAGATAAAGCATTTCATGAGAAGTGGTATCAGTTTGAGCCAACGTTAAAGCATATGTTCAGGATGATGATAAGAACTAATAATTTAGAATGTAAACTTTCAATTTCTGAAAGGTTCAATCTCTCTCTGCCTTCATTTATGACGGTAAGATTTAATATATTATTTATATTGAGCACATATTATGATATTAATTTTGTAAAATATTTTCTCCTTTAAAAATTATTTGCATTGTATTTGCTATGTAATTCCAATAATATTATTGAAGCTTTTTTCCAAATATTTTTTTTATTGCTTCTTACAGATTTTGAATCAGTCATACTCATTTGCTCTTCTTTTTCTAAGAATGAAATAAAAGCTTACGAGGTACATACATTTGCGTAAATATTTACGTAAATATTTTAGAAAATATTTTGTGCTTTCTTAGTTTTTAATAAAATTTTATTTATACATTGATAAAGCTAAAATAGCAAAAGCTTATTTATACATTGTAAATTATTTATTTAGTTTGCTAACTACATGTAATATATTTATATTTTTTCAGTGCTAAAAACAGCAGAATTTAATTAAGATTAATAATTTTAAGCAAAATTTAAATATGATTTGCATTTGTAATATATTTAATATATTAAATTTAATATAATATAATACTTATTTAATATATTATAATACATATAATACTCAGGTATAGAGTATTGAGAAGAAATATAAATTTAAATTAGCAACAAAACATTTTATATTTATTTATCACTATTTGCACCTAATTAAAATACATTATTCGTTTTATCATTTCGATTACTTAGCTCAACAAATCTGTCAATAGAAAATAGTATATTTTGTCTAAGAAAATATTTATTTTATTAATAGTATTGTGATATGAACAGTTAATACATACTGCAGTTATTTTTGTAGAATGTTGTTTTGATAGGACATCGATTTAATTCAGGAAATTATTTCATCGTTTTTCACCGAGAAAATACGCGTTATATGAATAGTTAATACATGCTGCAGTTATTTTTGTAGAATATTATTTTGATAGGACATTGATTTAATTCAGAAAATTATTTCACCGTTTTCCACCGATGAAGTACGCGTTAGGCTCTGCGATCCCTTCGCTACAATCCTGCGTTAAAGTCGTGCGCGCATTTCAGAGAGTACTATAAGATAATTATCACAGTGTAGAACACTGCGGATAGCACAAGATTACAAGGAAGTCTCTGCTCAAACTTATCTCTGTGATCGATATAATAAAGTCTGTAGTCCTGTACATTCAAATTCCTCTATTTCTTGACATCGCAACATTTATTTATCAACTTCTACATGTTTTTGTAAAAGAAGATGAGAGACGACTTCTTCAAATTGTTATTTATTCAGAAACACGCTGTATTATTCGAAGTTCCGACGCACATCAATAACAGAGCAAAACATTCTAAATCATAAATGAAAAGAACGGAACTTATCATTGCTCGTCTGACGACGTGCATTAACATAAGCCCCGGTATTAAGGAGAAATTCAAAAGAAATAATGAAACGCCGGAGATCGACGACGAGCCGTGAGTTATTTCCGACAGAAAGGCCACGCATGTTTTCGTGAGAGGAAGAAGTAGACGTACGCGCGATATAGCGAGAAAGACGCGGAGCGAAGTGAACACGAAGCACGGTGGAGCACACAATTCCCGATCGACGGTACATATCGCGAGCATGGACTTCCAAAACGTGAATCCCCTGAACATTCGGCTGAACTTGGTCTCGGGCAATCTGCTACCGGTGATCAATGGCGACTCAACTTTTTCGTTCTTTTGGAAGGTACACAGCGTCTTCGTATGGTTAATGCAATTCGTTATAGCGATCGCGATGGTGCTCGGGTGCATTTACGTGCCAATTGAGAAAGCTTTGACAGACGGCATGATCTGTTTCGTAGTATTTATTGAAATGTTCTTCATGATCATGAGAATTCACGCTCGTAAGGATCTGATGTATCAATTAATTCAAAAGCTGAACGAGATTCTGTACGCCGCCGACGAAACCATGAAGAGCGTCTTGGCGACGACTTTGGAGCCGGTGAAGAATCCTCTTCACTTCTACTGGTCCGCCGGCGTGATATCGATAATAGGGTGGAACTGTATACCGTTGGTATTGGTATTTGAGAAGAATTTGTTTCTTTACCAGGATTACAGAATACCTGCTGCTTTCTCCGAGCAGCCATTCTCGCTCAAAGTCTTTCTGCTAGGAAGCTTGTTCATAACGATCAGCTCGATATACATGTTCCTGAAGAAGGTCGGCGTGGATGTATACATGGTACATCTGGTCTTGTTGATAACCGTGCAATACCGATACATTGCTCTGAAAATTGCGATGATATTTCAAGAAGAAAATGAAAGTGATGAATCTCAAAGGAAACATTCTCCTGGGCTGGCTCGAAGAAAAGAGAAGGAAATAAGAGCACTGTGTCGACATCACAATGATTTGGTATAGTGAGTATCTGAAAGTTCAGTCAAGTATAATCTTCTAGCAATCTCTGTGACTAAAAAGAACGTATTGATTAATTAATATGCCAAATTAGTGCTATATATTTATTTGAATTATATTTCATATTTTCATATTTGCTTTGTACAAAATTTATATTTAAATCTGTAATTTTTAATGCAAAGTAAATACGAATTTCATAATTTTTTATGAGTATTTTTACGCTTTCTTTCAGCATAACTTCATTGCTAAAAGAATTACTGTCTTTAAACTTTAGTTTAATATATATAAACAGCGTCTTTCGGTTCTGCTTTATTGGTATTATGCTAAGCAGCGTGAGTAATAATTTGTTATCTTTGATCTCTCTCTCTCTCTCCCTTTCTCTCTCTCTCTCTCTCTCTCTCTCTCTCTCTCTCTAATTATAACGAATATTTACTAATTATGATATATTACAAATATCATATTTAATACTATAAACATCTATACAAATATATCCTTTTTAATTATTGAATTATGGAGGTTGAAGATTCATTAAAGAGATACGATATATTAACTAATATATCTTTTTTAAAATTTTAGATAACATCATCGACGTTTTGGGAAGCAGTTTCTATTATCATGTACTCGTCAGGTGCGGTAGTGCAACTTTATATTTTATGCTCCTGTGTGCAACAATTATTGGATGCGGTAAATTTTATTATAATTTATTATTGTATTTTTAATTCATAATTTCTGTAAAATTAAAAAATTTTTAAATTACTATGAAATAACAATCAACTTTACTTTTTTTGACGTAAAATAAACTATTTTTTTTATTTCAACAAATTTAACTTAACACTGCAAAAAGATTATCAGAAAACTGGTCATTATTGCTTTCGTGAATTACGGACTATGTTTTATCTTATACGTAATAATAATTGTATGATTTTTTTATATATACTGCTCTATTGGAAAATGTAGAGTACGGAAATGACAGATAAGGCATTTAACGAAAATTGGTATGTGCTTCAACCATCGATAAAACGTATATTTATGATGATAATTATGGCTAATAATTTGGAATGTAAAATTGCAACGTTTGCAAACTTCAATCTCTCCTTGCCTTCATTTATGATGGTAAAATTTTATACACTTTGTATTTTTTACGTAACATTATATCATAATATTGAATCTAACATTCTTCAAATCCTTCTTTTCAGATTTTAAATCAATCTTACACAATCGCTCTTTTGTTTTTAAAAATGAAATAAAAAAATGACGAAGAAAACGTCTTGCTTACAGTAGTTATAATCTTTACTTCCAAACTGATAACAAAAATTAATAATTTTATGAGGGCAATTTATTTATTTAGTTTGATGAACTTGACTTGCTGTAACGACAAAAGTACCTGAAAATCATGACTTTGTACATATCGGTGATTATACAAAAATACCAGCAATTATAATACAATTTGTAACTTGATACAGCCATAGTAATAGCAATGTAATAAAGTAGCAACTATTCATGACAAAATGTCTGAAATTGATTACAGCATAAATAACTCCTACATAATTAATATCATTGATGCTATATTTGTTAGGGGAGAGAATCAATAATATACAGATACAGATATAATATTAATATCAATATTATTACTAGCAGTATTATTGATTGAAATTTTTTGCAATAAAAAGATAAATCAAAATAGCTGTAGTAAAAAATAAAAAATGCAAACATTTATGATAATAAATGCAAATGCTTAAATGTAATACAATTTGTATTTTTGTTTTACGACAAAATAATTTTAAACTTGTAATGTCAAATCTAAAACAAAAATATTTATTACATATATCTAAGTTAATTAAATATATTATTATTTTAGCATATTCACCGAAACCGATTTGTTGTTTAGTATATGGAGAAAACATGCTATACTTAAAATATCCGTTTACTGTTAATCCATGGATATTTGATCTTCGAAATAGTTCATAAAATAAATTTAACATTTCCAGCACTTAAAATTAGTTCATCAGATATATCGAATTTTCGATGATATACGGATAAGATACCATTGGGTACTGTGATATTTCTGGACTTTACAGCGCAGGAATGGTCAATAAGAAGCAATAAGATAATGACCGCTTTGTGGCCTAGTGCTAATTACAGAGAATTTCACGATTGCTTTCAGCTCTGTATTTAACAAAATAAATAAACCGCTTTAGGGAATCGTATCAATTATTTGTGAACTATTTTATTATCTACGGCAGTAATATAAGAGGAAGCTTTTCTAAATGACAATGCACCAAGTAGTTTGCGAAATTATAGATAATAATTACTTTAGAATATTCTTGGACATTCTTGCGATGAAAGATCGCTACTTCTCATCGCGTGACCATAATATATAGGTGCATGGAAGACAAAGAGAAGTGGAAATTCAAGGGGAAGAATAAATTGCTCAAATTGTGTACTTTCAATTCTGATAGAAATGTCATACATTGTTTTCTAGACACGGAAAAAGCATAAGTGAGCAAAGGTAAATGTAAAGACGTATTCTCTTTCCATCTCTCACATTAGCTGTTGATTTCATATAGTGTGTATGTGATCTTTCAATAACGTTTGCTAAGAGACAATAACTATAAAGAAACATTTTTTTCAAGCAAAACATTTTATTAAGTTAAGTATATCAAGATATCGTCGCTAATATTAAATTACTGACATAATTATGTACAACTTGTTAAAATTTTTAATTGTACATTTCATTTAAATAAAGTTTAAAAAAAATTTCTCAGTAATGTTTAAAGTTAAATACGTAATATAAATTAAATTGCAAATAAATAGAATCATCCCGTCAAACTTATTTGACTCTTCCGTTTTAAATATATTTTTTGTACCAGAACGATATACCACGAAACAGCCAACATCAAAGGTATGGATTTTCAAAATGTGAATCCTCTAAACGTACGGCTGAACATTGTGTCGGGTAATTTGTTACCCATGACCGCTGACAATTTGTCGTTTCCAATATTTTGGAAAATATATAGCATTCTCATATGGCTACTCGAAATAATCCATACGTGTGTGCTAATCCCCGGGTGTTTTGTCGTGCCGAAAGAGAAGGCTCTGAGAGACGGTCTGATCGGTCTTGTGGTTACCATGGAAGTGCTCGCTACAGTCTTACGTATTCACACCTGCAGAGGACTAGTGCGACAGTTAATTCAGAAAGTGAATGATATTCTGCGTGTGGAGGACGAGATGATGAGGAGTATAGTGACAGAGACCATAAAGTCGATGGAGATTCCTCTCAAGTTTTACTGGTCGGCCGGCGTGATATCCATAATACTGTGGAGTAGTCCACCGTTTATGCTAGTCTTTCAAAAAAATTCCTTTTTCTATATAGATTACACGGCGCCAGTTGTCTACACTAAAGAGCCAATCACGACCGGTATCTTTGTGTTGGGAAGCGTCATCGTCACGATGAGCAGCGTTTACATTTTTACCAAAAAAGTCGGCGTGGATAGCTATATAATAAATCTGATGTTGTTAATAACGGCACAATATAAATACATCGCATTAAAATTATCGATGATATTTCAAGATAAATTGCTTCACAGCAAATCTAATACAAAGAAATATCATCTCAATAGAGATTGTTATGCAGAAAAAGAAATAAAAGCTTTATGTCGGCATCATAATACTGTTATCCAGTATGTTTATTTTTTTAAATTTTCTTAAGATTTAAATCTGCTTATATTTATATGTTTGACTCGGTGCAAAATTAGCTTGAAATTTTGTTTAATATTTAATATTTGATCTAAAAATATATAATTGTTATTAAATAAAATAAATAGTAAAGTATAATTGATATCAAATTTTACACGCTAAATCTTTTAAAATAATTTGTTGCAATATGCAATATTTATTGAAAATTTTTATTATTATAATTATCCGCTAATACAATGATAATTCTTACTTTATCTTTTAATATGACATTTTATTATCATTATGTGATGTTTATTGTTTCAGAATAATGCTAATGTTAAGAAAACTATTGTCTTTAAATATCAGTTTAATATATGTAATCAGCGTCTTTCGATTCTGCTGCATTGCTATCATGTTGATAACTTCAGTGAGTAACATAAGTACGGTACATAAGTACAGTGAGTAACATAGTTGATAACTTCAATTATTCTAGAAAGATTTGTTAAATCTAAATAAAATATAACGTTATTATTGCTTTTTATCAATTTGTATTTTATAATTTTAACGAAACGTTTTTTGGGAAATTTTAGATGTCATCACAAATTTTATGGGACATATTCTCTCTTTTTACGTATGCATCCGGTGGAGTAGTGCAGCTCTACATAACATGTCATTGTATGCAACAGCTATTAGACGCGGTAGGCTTTGTTGCAATCCATATCTTTATATGTGCACATTGTAGACTAAAAAAGGATTAAACTGAGAAACGTTTGTGTAATTGATAAAAATATTATTATATATACACCTTATCTTCTTTCATTTCTAATTAAGAGTGTTGAAATAACGGAATATGCATTTCACGAAAGATGGTATCTATATGGAGAGAACATAAAACGTACATTTATGTTTATGATAATGGCTAATAATTTAGACATTAAACTGTCAACATTTGAAAAGTATAATCTATCTCTGTCTTCATTCATGACGGTGAGTTTGCCGTGTGTCGTAGACATATTTAGAAGTCTATTAATGCTTTGAGATATTTTAAAATGTAAATTAAAAATTTTCGAATAATATTTTAGATTTTAAATCAAGCGTATTCTATCGCGCTTTTGCTATTAAGAACTAAATAAAAGATGCGTTGTTGCAAAAAATTTATATGCAGTAAGTATATGTATCTTATTGTTAGTATATAAATAAAATATAAAGATTGATATAAGTTTACGAGCTTAACTTCTATTTTTCTAAAGTATGCAATTTTTGTTTTAGTAAAAATAATATTACAGTATGATATATTAAGTTCAGTAATTAAATAAAAATTTAAATAAACGGTAAGCAAACACTAGTACACAAAATGTAGGTTTCTGGCATTGTAATAGAGAACTGAGTAGAAATAAAAGTTTAAACTATTTATAACAATATGGAACGTGGAATTTACAACATTTTCATATTTCGCATTTTAGAGCCACAATTATTATATTTTTTTATTAATGCCATCTTTAAGAATAGAGAATTTTTTAATGCTTTTCTTTAATATTTAAGATTTTATCATTGAAAAATTATTGAACAGCGAATGGTAAATAAAATAACAACTTACTTATTAAGAATCAGCTTATGAGATTTAAAGATGGAATCGTGAAAGATTGAAGTACCTTGCCATGTCAGGCAATATCGCGTTGTGTGCATTTTTTTTTTTTTTTAGATTTTATGGCTTTAACAGGATCAATATTTTTACGCTAGATAATATACCATAAGATAATTGTCGCCACAGGGCATTGATAATTACAAGTGAGCTCACGTTCGCGTTTGCCCCGAATAGTGAAATTTATCAATTTTTTCTATAAATCACCATTTATTATCGCGACATTTTTTCATAAATTTTTTATATTCATACGAATGGAAGAGGACTCTCTAATTTATTAGCTACCGTAGTGAAGCGCTATGTCATTATCGATAATTCGTCCGTGCCAGTCTCCTGCTATAATCATAGGATAAGTTACGATAATTATAAGGAAAGAAACTTGTCCCCGCTTTAAATGCACCGTCGCGCGACGGTGAATAATATATGGACAAAAATGACAGAAATAACGTGGAGGGACTACTAAATTGTCCGAGGTTTATTAGTAAAACATCAATACCGCGATAATGTACTTCGAAAGCATAAGTTCCTTAAATATTTGGTTAAACCTGATCTCGGGCAATCTGTTACCGATGTCCGGCAATTCGTCATTTTCAATATTCTGGAAGATGTACAGTGCTTTCATGTGGTCGCTCTTATGGTTTTGCGCAAGCATGATAGTCTGTGGCTGCTTCTTGGTGCCGTTAGAGCAAGCGCTGGTCGAGGGGGTACTCACTCTGGTCGTCATGGCAGAGGCAGTCATTGTCGTCATGCGAATACACGGGCAGAGAACGCTGGTACGAAATCTGATAGAGAAAGTGAATGACATCCTTAACATCGAAGACAAGAGCATAAACAATATCGTAGTAACGAATGTAAACCCATTGAGGGCTCCATTCAAATTGTACTTAGTTCTCGGTACATTTTCTACCACCTTCTGGTGCTCCTTGACGCTCACGTTGGTATTCGAAAAGAGTGTTTTTCACTACACGGATTTGAAAACACCAGTTATTTTTTTCAAGCAGCCGTTCTCTGCCGGGTTTTTTCTATTGAGTACCACATTATCAGTGGTTGCCAATGTTTATGTTTTTCTAAAGAAGATCAGCGTGGATATCTATACGACACATTTGATATCATTGATAACGTCGCAATATCAATACATTGCTTCGAAGCTTGCATCAGTATTTCGAGACGGTTCTCAACAGGATGATAGCTTTCCAGAAAATAATTCCAGCGTAGATACCTCCGTAGAGAAGGAGATAAAAAACTTATGTTGGCAACACAACAATGTTGTATCGTAAGTGCACTATTTTAGAACTGTTAAGATAAGATTGCAAACTGCTCTTATAAGAAATTTTGATTTGCCATATACATGAAATATAGAGAATGCTATAACGATACATGTTGATACATTGATTTACATTTTCTATAATGTTACGGATACATTCTTTGTTTCAGCATAATGAAAATGTTGAAGAAACTGCTATCTGTAAATATCTTTTTGATATATGTGAATAGTGTTTTTCGATTCTGCTTCCTTGGAGTTATGTTAATGACTGTGAGTAATAATGATTTATGACATCAATCACTTTAGAAATACATTCGTATGATTAGTGAGACATAAGTAACAAGTAATGCTATTAAGTTATTTCAAATCACTATCAGTTTTAGTATAGCAGAAATGTTTATGAAATCTCAGATGTTTTCGTCAGGAGCTTTCCTAGCAGCAGGTATAGTAATAATGTACGGATCCGGCGCATTGGTTCAGTTTTACATATTGTGTTCTGCTTTCCAGAAATTATCAGAAACAGTGAGATTTATTATAACAGATATCGTTCGTCATTGTCATAATTAAAAGTTTATTAGTAATTTTTAAATTGTAGAAAAAAAATTTTAACAATTTGTACTTGCAATATCTTTATACAAATAATACAGCTATCAGTTTTTATGACCTGAATATTTGACTAACAATGTTAAAAAATATTTAATTTATATAATGAATAATATTTTATAATTATGTACAATTATAAACATAAAATTACAATTATATAAAATTAAAAACATAAAATTTTTTCAGTGAACAAATTTTATAATTAACTATGTATTTTTTGTTTGTGTCGAATTTAGAGTGTAGAAATAATAGATGAAGCATTTCACGAGGACTGGAATCGATTCAGTTTTTCCATAAAACGTACATTTCTGTTGGTGATAACAGCTAGTAATAATATCGTTATTAATCTTTCATTGTTTAAAAATTTCAACTTGTCTTTACCTTCATTCATGTCGGTAAGATATATGATTAGAATACATACTATGTAATCAATATAGTCCATTTTGTAAAATATTTTAAAAGTAAAAGACATAATTTTGTATAATTTTCAAATATTGTTCTAGATTATAAATAAAGCATATTCTATCGCCCTTCTGCTAGTAAAGGTGCAATAAGGAATGACGGAAGTAATATATTGCTATAAGATATGATTATTGTAAAATTATAAAGGTAGAAACTCTTTCTCTCTTGCTTTTATTATAATTTTTTATTAGAATTTGGTTTCATTAAAATGTATAGTATTAAATAAAAATTAATATATTTATTATTCATAAAAAAATTATTAAATTTGCATATTCTGAATTAGTTTTATAAAATTTAGTTATAAAGACAAAGATCGTTTATCATAGAATTTAGAAATAATAAAAATTTGTTTACTAATATGTGAGAAATATATTTACAATTTAATTTTTATGTAACATTTTATCCAGAAAAATTCAGTTTTTGTCCCAGATCTACTTTTTTCTATTTTTAACTGTAATGTTTACAAATTCGCGTATATACATTCTTTACTTTATAGAAATAAAATTACTTTTCTACAAAAATATAATTATTTCATAGAAAAATGTGATAATGAAAAAAAACACATATAATAATATATTTAAATGCAATATTTAATTTGTGTCTATAGCTAAGAGTAATATATGTATCAAATTAGACATAATGGGTTATCTTTATATTGTCACAATGTTAAAAATCTATTTTCTAATTTTTCTAAAAATCTTTTATTAAAACGAGTATTGAGGCCAAACCTGAAGTATCAGCTTGTAAGATGTTCAATTCGTGATAAACTTCTTTTAAAGTATTTTATAATAACATCTGGCAGATTAAGCCAGATTAATCTGTAAACTAGAGTCGACGAAGTTCGCGTTTAGATAGTATCAAGCCTCGACTTGCTACGTTTAGATAGGATCAAGTCTAGACTTGCTACAGTCAACGAAGTCTATAAGATAATCGTCCCTTCACAGGGTAACGACAATTAGAAGGAAACTTGTAGTCGCGTGCATCTTCACAATAAACGTAATGAAAAGATCGTACTGCAATAAATTGTCTCATATTATTGCGACGTTTATCCATGAATTTATATCCATATTCTTCATTTATGTGCAACAAAGACTCTAAGCCTCTATTCACGGGCCTCTATTATGGGCGATATTATTGATAGTCTTGGCTTGTATCAATGTGCTTAATTGCGATTGAAGGTAGCAGAATGTCTCTTGTCTTTGTATGATAACGTATAATATACTAATGGTATCCGGGCAAAAAAAAAATAGTAATTGAAGGGGAGTAATGAATAACTGTAGATCTACAGTCGACTGACAGCCTTCAAAACGGAATAGAAGAGCGACGTGTAGTCGGATCAGTCTGAATCGCGAAAAGAAGCGCGCGCGATGATAGAATTATAAAATAAAATAAACGGCTTCTAATATACAATTGTCTCTGTTATATATTAAACATATATAATAGCAGTGTCAATTGTAAGTAAACTATATTCAGATATCACAAAAATATCTGAAAAAAGTTTCGTTCCTCAACATTTGTCAAGAAGAAGCGTTACCGAGAATATGGATTTTCGAAGCGTGAATCCCCTGAACGTTCGCTTAAACGCACTCTCGGGCAACTTGCTGCCCTTGAGGCCGGGTGATTCGCGATTTCCGATCACGTGGAAGATATACAGCGTCTTGGTGTGGCTGATTGAGATAATCCAAACAATCGTGCTTATTCCCGGCTTAATTCTGGTGTCGCGGGAGAAGGCGCTGAAAGACGGTACAGTTGTCTGTGTGGTTACCGTAGAGGTGTTTTTTATGGCCGCGCGAATTCACTCACGCAAGCAGCTGGTGAATCAATTGATCCAGGAACTAAACGATATTCTACGCTTTGCGGACGAGACTATGAAGAGCGTTGTGACATCGACTCTGCAGCCTATGGAGAATCCGCTCAAGTTTTACTGGCTGTCCGGCTGGTTGGGCGTCTTCGTATGGGCCTGCTTACCGTTCCTGCTGGTCTTCAAGGAAGTTTCCTTCTTTTACGAGGACTACAGGACACCAGCGGTCTTCTCCAAGCAGCCCTTTTCGTTCGGTGTCTTCCTACTGGGCAGCGTCCTCGTACTGTTCGGTAACATATATATTTTTGTAAAGAAAGTCGGATTGGATGTTTATATGATACATCTTGTGCTACTGATAACGGCGCAGTATCGGTATATCGCCACAAAACTCGCGACAATATTTCGAGAAGGACATCCAAATGAGTTGGATGAGTTTCGCCAGAAACACTGCTCTGGAATAGATCGATGGGTGGAAAAAGAAATGATAGCATTATGTCGACATCACAACGCTGTTGTTCAGTAAGTAATCAGACAGATTTTGTCAAAAAATTTATTGCATGAAAGAAAATATATAATGTATATAATGTATAAAATATATAATGTATATAAGAATATATCGATAACGCGGCCAATTATTAAAGGAATTTTGAATCCAAAAATGACATGCAATTTTTTTCTCTTTTCTTATTTTAAAAGAAATTTAATTGCATTTTTATACTGTATATGCAGTTTTATTCAATTGTATTACTATTATTATTATTTGATCATATTTAATATAATAATTTAAAATTAAATACGACATTTAAAATGTAATAGTATTGAAATAATTTATATTATTTATAATAAATTAAAAACGTTTTTTTCATGGTCAAGTGCAAATTGAGCAATACAAAAAAAAATAAAAATGTTTACAATTATAGAATTATAGAATAATAGAATTTCTACATTTAGATCAAGTTTTAATAATAGAATATTTTATCATATTTTATGTGTATGGGAGCTTTGTTTTAGCTTATCGTCTATGTTAAAGAAATTACTATCTTTGAACTTCACTATGATCTATGTGAACAGCGTTTTACGATTTTGTTTTATCGGTGTTATGCTGAGTACAGTGAGTAACAAATGCTAACGTAAATTATTCTATTAATCCGACAATTGATATATATATACATCAGTGCATTATAAACAATTGTTATCGGTTGATATAAATAAATATATATGAATGATATTATACAAGCAATATGTTTTTAAATGTTTCCAGGTACCATCAACGACTATCCCAGAAGCTTTTTCGATCGTCATGTTCGCGTGTGGCTCAATAGTGCAATTTTACATGTTGTGTTCCAGCGTTCAACAATTAGTAGACGCGGCAAGTTATAATGTAGCATTTACAAAGCTTATCTTTCTCAGAGCAAATCGTCATTATTATATCTATATATTTTTGTGTGGTCAATTTAGAGTCAGCATATGACGAATAAAGCATTTCACGAAAAATGGTATCAGTTTGGACCATCTGTAAAACGTACCTTCATGTTAATGATATTAGGCAATAATTTAGAGTGCAAGCTCTCGACGTGCGACAAGTTTAATTTGTCTCTACCCTCATTCATGACGGTAAGAGTATTTTCTGCATTTCTACAAGCAATGACGTTATTGGAATTTTATGTCTGTTTCAAATTTTATCTGATGATCTTTTAGATCTTAAATCAATCATATTCGATTGCTCTTCTACTCCTACGAGTACATGAATAATTATGAAGAATACAAGAATGTAGATTATTAAAATACAAAATTTCTGAAATCTAATCATTACTTTCAAATTAATGGTAATAAGTTTTTGAATAATTTTGAATTAAATAATTGAATAGTTTTTTAATTAAAATTACTAATATTATGTTAGAAATATGTTTAAAATGCAATATTATTATGATGTAATTTCACAAAAATATAGCATTAGCAGATAATAAAAATGAAAATTAAAAATAATAATGCATCATAGATTAAATTTTTTAGCAATTCGTGAAATAAATTTATATAGCTATATACTTTTTTGTGTTTTAAGTTATTTATAATTAGTAGAAATATTTATATAGCGAATTTTTAATTTTTCACACATTTAACTTTTTTTTTTAGAAATCGTTCTTCTCATAAATTATCTGAGAGAGATATTGTATATGTATATATATGAATTTTTATTAAAAGACATATAATTATAATTTATTTACTTATTAGTTAGCAATATCTTGTGTGCAGCTGCAAGAATATTAAAGCATATTTATCAAATAATTAATTAAGAAACGATTTTACAAATTCACTCAACCACTGATCAGTCGTTATACGATGACCGAGAATTGAATTGGAAAGAACTAAGCGCGCTACAGCATTTTAGAGAACATACAAAACAGCACGTTTGCATAGCGCATAGCGATTTAACTTCTTACAGATTAATTCAGTCGCGTCGCTCACATGCAGTTTTCCATCGATGAGACGAGCATTATTTAGCACGATTCGGTCAAGTACTACGAATTTTGCAGCTCCGCGACTATTGACAGAGCGCCATAAAATAATCGCCGAAGAGGCATTTCGTTACAGGGCAATGGTAATTCTAAGAAAAGTCGTACCATGGAGACGACTAGCTTATAGTCAAACAAAAAAGCTAACTCTTTTCTTTTAATCGTCGTTTACCGCCACGGTTAATTTTATAAACTCCTTTAATTTTCCTACAATAATACAAATAAGTCTTTCTGTATTAATAGCCACTAAAAGATCCGCAACATTAATTGTTGTCTTCAGTATCCTTCCGGGCAATGATCACAGGACAGATATCGATAATTTTTGAAAATTTTAAATCCTGTATCAAACATAATTGTTCAAATTTTTGCTATTACATTAATTAAAAGACGCATTATTTTCATATATATATATATACATACTTTTTATCATAAAAATAAAATATTAAATTTAACACAAGCTTTTGTGTACGTGTGTATAATTGTATGGATGCTAACTTCTATTTTCTTAAAATATGTAATTTTTGTTCAATAAAAGTAATATTTCAGTGTACATTATGTTATACTTACAATTAGTTTAATAAAATTTTGATATGTACTGTAAGCAACTACAGATTAAAAGAAAATGTAAGGTTCGCTGTAATTAGATAATTAAGTAGAAAGTATAAATTCAAACTCTTTTTAAGAACAATTTAAAACGTGAAATGTACAATAGCATACATCTTTAAATTTAATATTTTACAACTGCCACCATATAGTTTTAATTAATGTTATCCAAAAGAGATGTTACAATGCCATTTTTAATATTTCTGAGAATTTATCATTGACAGAATAGTACACGTAATAGTAAGAATAATGAAAATTATAGTAGATAAAAGTAATAAAATAAATAACTTATATTAAGAATCAGCTTACAACATGTGAAGATGAAATCGTCAGATATTACGCCGACTGTTCGAAATATTTGACGCGTGTCAAGCAACATCACGTTTGTATACGTCTTCTAGACAATATACGTGAGTAAGGATTTCAACTTTCTTGACTAGACACTATAAGATAATTATCGCTTCGCAGCGCATTAATAATTAGTAAGCTCACATTGCAGTCGCATTCACACAGATATAATGAAATTTATTTCGTCTCTAAACCGTGATGTCGCGACATTTGTCGGTAAATTCCTTTGTGTTCGTATATATATATATTTTATCCACAGATGACATCTGTCTAATTTGTCAACTAATTTTCAGCTCAGTAATAACAGAGTAGTCTACTCTGTTATTATTGATAATACATCTGCGATGCACTCACGCAGTGTAGGATACGTTTGGATTAATTACAACGAACGAAATATGTGTTCACTTTACTCTGCCACATGACGGTGAATAATATATGGATAAAAGGCACAAGTATGAAGGGATATTAAATTGTTTGAACTTCAGTAGCAACTTTCAAATATCGACAGAAATTTATTCTTCTGGACGAACAGAGTACATCAATAGAAATATGAAACAGAGGTAAGGTACATACACTAGGAATTGTATATATTTCTCTAACATAATATAATTTCTGAAGATAAATCATTTATAAAGACAAACGAGTATATTATATGAACGATTGTAAATACTGTCTTTTCACATTTTGGAAAACATTAATCTGGAAATGAAAAAATATTGCTAATTAAATTTAATTAAGTCAATTTGACAATTTAAAAAACTGAAATAATATATCATTATAAGTCTTAATGCAGCCACAATTAGTGAATTTTAATACCTGAATACGATAAAAGTACATAAATACTCAGAAATATAATGGATAAGTAAAAACCTTGACTGTCTTTTATTTTACAGAACAATTTCTACTCGTTACAAATTGCAATACCGAAATAATGAACTTCCAAAACATGAATCCCTTAAACGTTTGGTTAAACCTACTTTCGGGCAATCTGTTACCTATGACCAGCAATTCGTCATTTTCAATATTCTGGAAAATGTACAGTGTTTTCGTGTGGTCGCTCGAATTGGTTTACGTGGTCACATTAATCCCTGCCTGCTTCTTAGTACCGATAGAGAAAGCATT